TTAGGATTACCAATTTTTTTTCTATTTGCAAAATGCCAGAATAATGAGAGTGAGAAATGTTTAAGGCAATTGGTATTACTTTATTCAAAGTCAAAAGTTTAAATACACTTCATAAGTATTTGGTACCATTGCCCTTAAACTATATAACTTGTGTCAAACGTTTTGGATCTCCTTCCACGAGCTTCTTGCAATAGTTGGCAGGAATTTTGGCCCATTCCTCCTGACAGAACTGGTCTAACTGTCACCTCAAGTGATCTTAAACTTCAAGTTGCATGTGAAAATCTGAGAGTGTTGGATTCTTTTTGTGTTTCTACTTATATAATGCATTCTTATATTTTATTTTCTTCCTGTCGTTTTTCTGTGTGTGTTTCAGACAGATATAAACAGAAGCAAAACTCAAAACCATTGACCTCAGGTACTTTAATTAGTTGGTGCTCTCTTTTAAAGATATTTGTATTATTCAATCATTAGCTGGTAGTGTTGCACGTATTGGGTTTTTTTTTTTTGGCTTGGGTTGTTAGTGGTGTAAATTTAAACCACACTTATTTATGCTATCTGAGTTTAAGATTTATAGGACTCTGTTATAAGCGAATTTATCATTTGTGGGTGTTGCATGTAAAAACAAATAAAATGAAAATACATTTTTATCCAAAATAAAAGCAGTCAGGAAAGTTAAAATACTGCATTTATAACTAATCTGCTGCCAAAACCCTATTAAAATAAATAAATGCAACCACTTCAGTGGACTGAACCTCCACCTCTGTGTTTGCTGCAGTCTGTACAAAGCGATACAGGAACCGCACAGGACTAAGTTACCACTACACCCATTCCCACCTGGCAGAGGGGGACAGAGCCGGGGAGAGAAGCACGGTGGCATCTCGCTCCCCCACTGCACCACAGTCTGACAGACACAAACGTAAGTTTAAGTGATTCCTGTTTTTAACACACTTTGGGAGCAGTTCACCTTTTTCAGAAACTCACTTGACTGTACAAGACCCATTGGATTTGGATCTTTACTGTAAAATACTGACTTGCATAAAGTGTAATCAGGCATGTCCTGTTTTATTTTAAGGTCCAAAGAGTTCTGGTGGAACCAGCATACCCAACAACTACTGTAATAAATGTCATGGCTCCTACAGGAAAATGGGTAAATCGGGATCTTCCTGCTCCGTATGTCAATGCACAAGTGAGTTCATGTACTCTGCTAAAACATGAAGTACACATGTACATTTCTCAGACAACTGCACTTTATAAAATACAAGTATGTCTATTTGATTTGTTTAGCTCAATGCCTAATACTCTCCCTTCCTGCACCCCAGCTGACCGTGGAGAGGAAAAAGAAGACGGGACGTCAGCTGGAGCCGAGGAGCTTTTTGGCACCACCTCAGAGAGCGACACTTCCACTTTTCATGGCTTTGAGGACGACGAGCTGGAAGAACCAGCCACAAACGGCAATGGCATATCCAACCGTTACAGATAAAGCAACAATCTTAGATTTAAACTGACATTTTTTTATATTTAAATATATATATATATATATATATATATATATATATATATATACGGATTACCCCCCTGGCGAAAATCAGCTGCTTCTTTTAATGTTTTTGTTTGGTTTTGTTTTCAAAAAGCACAAAGTGATCATTTCAGGACAGAAAAGCAAGTGGTATTTTATCTACTGAACATAACTGAATAATTTATAAACACTTTTTTTATATTAAAGAGCATAAATGAACCTTTGATGCAACAAATGACTATTGGGGTTCCCTAAAAATGAATGTGCAGAACAGATGTTTTTGGAGTGTCTGCATTTTTTTTTTTTTTTTTTTCCCCCTTGCTGGCAAAAAGGAAGAAACCTTTAACGACACGTAGATTTTTAAATTTTATTGCAGGCAATGCTTGCATTTAAAGACTACTGGATGATTTTCAGCGGGACTTTGAAGACCTCCTCTGTCTAACTTAAGTGTGAAAATGAAGGAAAACCACAGGTCACTGGAAATGTTTGAGTTAACAAACATTCGCAACTTTTTTATTAACTCTCACTACAAATGAAGAACATAATGAAAGAAAGGTAAGCCACAATGCAATTTAATCAACTGTTATAACCTTTCTAACATCCATGGCAACTCTGCATTTAATTGGAAACGACAAACAACACGTTATATGTTTGTATTTTTTTGCAAATAGATTTAGCTTAAATCTTTACACAAAGTGAATAACTGATTTAATGAATTTTAATTAGTGTTCCTGCAGTCCCACTGTTTTGAACTTTGAACTTCAAGTTACATTTGATGTGTTTTTTTGTACAATGTATCAAATCTAGAGTTAAAATGACTTTTGGTTCAGTTTATCCACTTTGTTTTGAAATAGGACTTTTATTTGTCACAAAACCAATCGCTGCAGTTAGCCGCCAAATTATTATACAACTAAGTGTGAAAAGCAAATGGATTTGGTGTAATTTGGCTGTAGGTGTTAAATCTAGCTTCTACTTTTTGAAACTGCAGTATACTCTTATAAATGTTTCTGTGTGTTTGGAAAAGTAAAGTGTAATGTTAGTCATGTTTGCGACGCGGCACCGTGGACCACCAGCATCAGTAAACCGTAAATGGACTGCCATGGTTGGTGACGGGCATAATTGGTCCTCATGTGGATATATGCTTTATAAAAATATCTTCATTTGAATGATGGCATAAAAGTTGTTAATTTTTTTAAATGTTTTTATCAGGGATGCATGATATTGGATTTTTGGCCGATATGTTAAAACTTATTTGGCTGATAACAGATACCAGTACCGATATTTTTTCCCCTAGACCTACTAACAGACTACATAGATGTCTCTGCTGTGGAATTTAAATACATTAGTCTGCATGGTCTTTGTCAGTTGGGCCTGCTACCAAATGTAGATGCCAAAAGGGAGCTGAAAATGATGCAACACTTCAGCTTGGATTATATTAAATGTCAAATTTATTCATGACATTTACTCTCTAACACGACAACACTCAGAGTACAAATTTGTAATTTTTCACAAATCTAAACTCAACCTGTTCACAAGCGTCAAGTGAAAAGTGCATAAGTAGTAGTGCATTAATAGATATACTTGACAGTTTCTTAAATTAAAAATTAACTTAAAACAGAAGTCTTTTATATTGGTGAGTTATTTTGATGGAATGGCCGATGTCCAATATTTAACTTTATCGCTAATATCAGCGATACCATGCTGATAATATCGTGCATCCCTAGTTTTTATTTGTTTCCCTCTCCTGTTACATCTCCTGCTGCGTTGTGCTTGTTTTCAAATGTTGACTTGCTAAACATCAGCAGCCTTGCAGCTCTACTGTAAGCTCAGCACTTAGCACAATTGATCGCTGTGCCTTAAGGCTTGCAGAGCTGTTTGCATGACTGCAGAACATATTTATTTATTTATTTGGTCTTGTTCAGATGTATAATGTTTGAGTCTAACCATTAATGTGTGTTGTATAGGAGTCGTCAGCACAATGGCATGTGGCCCAGTGCTGGAGGGATGACCAGTGAAGAAGAGGATTTAACCCTCAAACAAACTAATGAGCCTTTATGTCCCTCCTGATTTGGGCCTAAAATGAGCAACTGAAATGGATGAACAGGCTTCCACAAACCATGTGGCTTAATTGAAGCAACTGCTCCCTTGACGATATGTATCGACTTCTTGTGAACATTTGAAATGTGAGCATTTTGCTTCGTTTCTTCCTATCTGCACTGTGCTGGAGCTGCTTTCTGAACTATGGGAACACTAAAGGCAAAGCCTTTGGACTGTTTGTGCCCAACGGGTACATTTGGGGCCTCCAACAGCCCAGCTTGCCCACTCCTGCTCTGCTGTGTGATCTGATGTGACACTAAGACGTCATTATCCTCATCACTATGCTAGCCTGCTGCTCCGTGCCGGAAACCGGCTTTGACAGCCATCACCCCTCCAACCTGATTGGACCAGTGACCCTCTGACCTGCAGCCATAAAGATGGTGCTCCAATCCACCACTATGACATGCAGACCTCTGGACTATGTAACCCTGACGTGGACACAAGGTTGTTTTTTTTTCTAGTTCTGCTTTTCTTTTTAAAATATTTGCTCACTTTTTTGCACCTATTCTCTGCTGTAAAACCTTTTTTTTAATGTTTTGAGCTTCTTAACGTTTGAGTAGTTCTTGGGTTTTTCTGGACTGTGTTGATACTTCTGTCTAGATCAGGTGCACTAAACCCTCAGCAACTCAGGCATCTTTCATTTCCTCTACCATTGATTGTTCAGCTAATCAGCCCTAATTTGTGATTGTATTCTACTAACAAGGAGGGACAATGACACCCACACCATGACTCCATTATTAGAATCAATACATGGGATACAGCCGTCTTTTATAGGAAACGCCTGCATTGAGTAGACCCATCAGTGCTTTTTTAGTTTTTTAAACCTAGTGTCTTATTTTCCAGGCATAAACTCTCTTCTTAAAATGTAAAGCCTGAGAAGAAATCAAATAAAACCCATCCGTGCTCTGCTTCCTATCCGTAATTAGACGTGATACCTGCAAGTTATTCGCAATGTTTCTGTTGAGTGCTTTTTGAGCGCTTAAATTGCTTTCTGACATTTAGAGGGTGCTTGGAGTGCTGTACCAAAAAGCTGTTAAGTCCCATAGTTCACACACACTGTGTAAAAGGTGTGTGTCCATATAATAGCTGCTCCGTTATTGAAGCTAACCGTTCGTGTAATGTCTGTTCTGACATGTTTGTGCATTTCAACCGTCTCTCCTCACTTCCCTCAGGGACCCCTCCACACAGCAGTTTTATCTCCACAGGACAAAGAATGCATCTTTATCTTGTCGTCTTCCTTTGCATCAGTTATGTGTCGTTTTCACAGTAAAATAAGTCGACGTGTCTTTTTAACTTCCAAAGTTGCGCCAGTAAGTGCAAACATGTGTCACATCCTACTGAACGGACAGGCGAACTGCTCGCATCTCTGAACAAAAGCTCCTGTGTGGAAACGTTAGTCATGTCTACTTAAAATAATCTCTCCTGTCTTTGAAGAGCCTGTATACCTCGTCCCAGACACAGCAATAGACCCTGGTCCTCTCCTGTCGAACCTGCAGAGGGGGCTGGAGGAGAACCAGGGTGGGAACGGAGCCAAGAAGAGATGACATGGACATAACTGAGTGGTTTTTTTTTTGTTTGTTTGTTTAGCTTTTTTTTCTGCTGTAAATACAAGTCTAAAAGGAGAGAATGAAGAAGTGTTTGTTAAACTATTTTTATTGTTCTGGAAAAAATAAAGAAAAACAAGGAGTGAATGTTAGCGAGTGACGTTTTCTTTCTGAGGAGGTGAAACTGGGAGGTTTGAAGCTATTTTCAAGCTAATAATAAGAAAAAATATCCAGACTGGATCACAGTAGATTAAGTGATCCACAAATGCTCCAAAGTAAAAAAATAAATAAATAAAATAAAAACAAGTCTTAAGCTAACATGATTTAATGAAGGGACAAGTACTTTTTGCTCACTTACCACAGCCAGACAAATGTCAGTTTGTAAAATTACAGAGTGGATTTTACTATTTTTGTGCTACCAAGAATAAATTGAGCAAAAATGACTGCAGAAATAAAACAATTTAAAGTATCAAATACTTACTACACTGCTCCTCCTAACAGTCGGGTATGGAAGCCCATTTCCGTCATGAAAGAAAAAATAAAAGCCCAACAGGAAGTCATAATTTCGAGTTTCAAAGTCATAATAACGAGAATAAAAGTCATAATTATGACCGTCATAATTATTATTATTAATCATATTATAATAATAATAATATATTATAATATATTATAATTATCATGTCATAATTATGACTTTTATTCTCGTAATTATGACTAAGTCGAAAATATGACTTATTCTCGTAATTATGACTTTAAAACTCATAATTATGACTTTTATTCTCGTAATTATGACTTTAAAACTCATAATTATGACTTTTATTCTCGTAATTATGACTTTAAAAGTCGAAATTATGACTTCCTGTTGGGCTTTTATTTTTTCTTTCATCGTGGAAATGGGCTTCCATAGTCAGATGTTATTCTGTAAAAGCATTTTAAACTTGCTCAGATCTTCCTGCTTTTTGGCTTCATTGGCAATTCAGATCTTTGTCTTTCAGCATTCTCTTAGTCCTGAAGTTACCTTTTTATATAATTATTAGTTTTACAGTGATGCATCTTAAAACATACCCCATTTTCTTCTTGTGCCTTGCCTGAGAGACTTGTTTAGTCGTGATTCAGAACAACAAACAGAGCAGGCAGGTCCAGAGAGTTTATTATTTGGTACCCATGAATAGATAGCAGGTGCTTGAGTGTTTTACAGTGCCAGTAGTTATCTTGCTGATTGAGAAACTAATAGCACAAAATGCCCTGAATATGTAACATGCATAGTAATGTGCCCATATAGTAATAAAGTGTGCTTTTGGAGGACAAAATGTAACCAGTTTAACTTTAGAATGCACTTGGTACATAATATCACTGGCGTTAAGCATCTCTACCTTCTATTTAAGAGGTTACTTGTTTAGAACAATAATAGTGATATGATCTGTACAGTGCTTTGTAATAACTACTAGAAAATTACAGATGACTCATTCAGCGGTGTAGCAGTGTGGCCACACAGAGGAGCTGTGAGAGGAAAGCTTCTGTTCCAGCACTTCCTGTGTGCAGAAGAAGGTAGCAGCCACAGTGGAGCAGAGAGGCCTCTTTGTTCGGTGTGCGACACTCACAATGAGACGTTTACTGTTCCCACTCCGGAGCTTGGACGTCCCTCAATCTACAAAATGGACTCCAGATCAGGACGTGTGCTGTGTTTTGAGAGTTCAAAGTCACTCTCTGTTCCTTCTTGGTCCAACATGCACCATTTTATACAAAAAAAAAAAAAAACACATGACGATTGTTGGACAAACAAAAAAAGCATTGATAATAGACAAAATAAAAGATGTGATTTTCATGCAGTAAACAAAGCAAAGAAACATAAATAATCCCAACATCGGGTGCAGGTTGTGGATAATCCGCCACATTTTCTCACTCGTTACAGTGTGAACTCGCAGAACTGGTTCTGTGATTTATACAATGGAACCCACCACTTTATGGCACTGGAAACTTTAAGAACTGTTAGGAGACTTTGTGGACTGTAATCTCAAAGCTCAAATCACAACTATTCGCTCAGCCATGCCACGTCTGTAGTCCTCTGAGGTATTCACACAGACTGCTGGAGTTGATTTGTTTCACTGGAAACTAACTCGAAGTTTAGAGGTCGAGTTTTCCAGTGGAAGTGAACACATCTTGGCCACGAGACTCTTCGTGAAGCTCCGTTGTACAAACACTAGCTCAGATGGAACATGCAACAGTGCAGTATGATTGCTACATTAAGCCCTTATGCCTGATTCTGGAATGTGGTGAAGCTTGAAAAATTACACCTTGGAAATCAGGTTTGTAGACGTAATTACAGAAACATGACGGGGGAAACATGTTTTTTTTAATAACTGCAGACTGTGCTGACTGTTTGACTCGTTATATACTTAGAAAACAAGAGTTACAAGATATAAAAAGAAATTGGATTAAAATCTAAGCAAAGAAAAGTTGCAGACTTGTTTTATTGCTTGCTGCCTTCGGAGATCTGAAATGTATAGGAGACAGACTGCGTCTGATTTTTGATGATTGGAGTTTGAAATAGCCTTTTCATCATTTCAAATGGAGCTAAAGGAGATTCTGTCAACACAAAGACACTTTTTCTTTTTTAAATGAAAACCAATTGTTTTAGTTAAGCCAAAGTTTGTTTGTCACTGGAGTGATGTAGAGGAAGCAGCGTCTGTCCGGATGCTGCACGTTGTGTGGTGTTTTTTTTTTTTAGCTCTTGTAGCTATCGTATTTTCTTCAGTGGTTTCGTTTGGTGTTTTCACCCCAGCGAGCCCAGCTCTGCTCATCCAGTATGGCAGCCAGGCTCGGATCAGTGTTCGAGAGGCTCCACAGCAGCCTTGTCCACCACAGCTCCACTGTCTGAGTCCCTGCGTGGCTGTCCCCCCACCAGCAGGGTCCGGCTGTCCCCCTCCAGTCCTGGCTGTGTCAGGATGACTGCATCAGGCCTGTCAGACGCTTTCCTGTCAAAGACTTGCCCTAGAAAGTTAAATAAATAAAAAAACTAAATAAATACAGAGATGTTGAAGTAGAAGCTCTCCACAAACCATATCTCATGTCACTTTAACCAAATCAAGAAAGTACCACCTCAAATTTTTAGTTTTGCTCATTTATTTTCTAGAAATTTCAAATTCACTTATGGAAGGATGAAATGTACTTCTTTTTTTTTTAACATATGATTTATCAAACAAATTTAAGCTTTTAAAAAGGCTGCACTGCTCACAAATAAGTAAATATATGTACTTTATCTGCAACATTTTACTAATTTTAGTACATTTTAGAAACCCCTTTCTTCTACTCTGGCTCTCGCTCAAGGTGGACGCTCCTGCTCTCCTTCCCCTTGTTCTCCTTCCTCCTGCTTTGCTCTCTGTGTGTTTGAAGCTCCCGGTACACATTTCCCGAATGAAAAACACGATTATGGATCTGACAAACAGGACTTTCAACGCAATCAACAAAATCTTTTCAACAAAACGACAGGGTCCTAAAACTTATTCTGATTTTGATTGTGATTTAGAAACAGGCACTCAAAACTAAAATGGCAGCACCGATTCTAAAGAGAGTCTGATTTAAAAATTAAAAATTATCTTTTGCTTTCCCCAAAATAACAGTTTAGACTTTTACAATGTTTCATCAAGTATAAATAAAAAAAATGTAAATCATTACATACCATTTAATTCATTTTGTACATTTTAGTCAACATTTTTAGAATGAGGGTTGTAGTTTACCATAATTAGAATAAAGAATTTAGTCCTTTATGTATGTAAAATTAACTAGGAAGAGAAAATATTTCATCAATTGCTTTCTAAATCCATGATTAAAAACTTAGAATTCAAATTTGAGGAGGGAATGTCTGGTTGAAATGACATGGATAGACTTCTGCCAGTAAAGTGATTCGATCTAAAATGCTTGGCTGCAACACAGCTAAAATGTTGCCTTACTCACAAACACACCTAAAAAGCCACAACAGATTGTAATATGGTTGTAATTGCAAAAGCCACTGTTAGTGAGCCAGCCAGTGTGGTTTCTGTGACATGAACGGCCCCAGCTTCAAATGACTTACCACACTGCGGGTGAACTTCTCCAAGGAGGTGCGGCGGCCCTGTTCAGTGTCTGCTGGCTGCTGTTTTGGGAGGGGGGGGGGGGGGGCGTGGGGGGGGGGTGGGGGGGGGTTCGTGTTGGGGGGGGGGGGGGGGGGGGGGGGGGGGGGGGGGGGGGGAAGCAGGGTGAGTGTTTGGGTCAGGTATGTGTGTTGACGGGGATTTGAAGTGAAGTCGTTAGTGAGGAGGGGGGAGGATAAAAAAAAGAGGGAGGCCAAGCATTGCAGAAACAAAGGCCAAAGACAAGTGCAGGGGTGGGGGTGTGGGGGTGCATTTAAAGGAAAAGGATGTAGGGATAGTTAGAGGCCAGCAGAGGGAGCGGTGTTCAAATGAGAAAGGGCAGAAAGGCTAGCATGAGCAGAAGAAGCTGTTGTCTGCTGAAAAGCTCCACGTTACACAAATTAACAGCTGATTTTAGCTGCAGGCCTCACAATAAATAATAATAAAGTGAAACCATGTTCCTGAGACATTTCTATGGTTCTGTAGCGACACCTACAAGGTGTTCCTGTTGCACAACTGTTTGACATATGATGTCATGTTTTTATAAAGCTGTTCCCTTCACTCTGAATAATTTAGCAGCTCCCGCTTTTAGGTCATGGCAGTTTTACCCTTTCAGGGCTCTGTTTATCTCATAATGCCTCGAGAGCTCACACATGAGCTCAATCTGCCAATAAGATATTAGGAGGCCCAATGTTTGTTGATTAAATGACCTTTTAGATGATTAAATTACTTCATTTCCAAAATACGAATGACTTGTTCGGGAAGTTGTCAAGTAGAATGAAAACTAGCAGAAGTACTCTATTTTTTTCCTTCAAAATGCCTGCAACTCTGAATACTTGTTTTAAAAGTCACATTTTAAAGCAGTACGTCAATGCTTTGCATCCTAATATTTGATGTTAGAGCTGGACTGATAAACTTTGGTGGCTAATTTCGACCATTTTATAAATCCTGCTGAGTGGCCAGATTTACAGCTTAGAGCTATTTTTTGTTATATTTCTGTATTTCATAACTGTAACATGATCAAATTCCCTCAATAGTCTTAAAAGTGGATACATGTCAAATACATTTTGTGCTGCAAATTAAAAAATGCTGTAAAAATCTGGTATAATCACCAAATCAGATTTAAAAAAAAAAATCATAAAAGGGTTTCATTGAGGTATATGCATTTATGTCCTTTTCACTATATTTCAGCTAATATTGGTAATAAACAGACTTATTGTTGATTGCATTCATAAAGTCATCATTATCTTGGTTGGCTTTAAATAAAACCATAAGCAAAGCATGAAAACGGTTTGAGAAATGAGGAGCGTGTTGAGTTGAGTGCAAAGCAGAGGAGGTCCACATCTGTGAGTGCAGCTCACCTTCTTTCTGGCCAGCAGGAGGTCTTGGTAGATGTTAGATCGCAAAAAGCGTGCATAGCTGTCACTTTTCATTAACTGGAATATATGATCCTGCAGGGAAAAAGAGAGGGGATATAAACAAAAATGCTAAACAACTAAAGTGAATCTGTAAATGTGTTAATACAGAGTGTGCGGAGCTGAGTGATGTCCTGCCACGAGGCGTGTTGGAATTTGTTTTAAAAGCAGAAAATGCCACTGAAACAACCTCTTCATGGCATTACTCGCCTCATTAGGCTCTGGCACAAACACCCTCCATCATTCTTCCTGTTTCCTTTTATTCCTTTCATTCATTCACTCGTGTGACATGAGTGGAGTGGTGGACTTCAGTAAGGAGGGGGAAATAAGTACGCGGCTCTTGTATTTTCAGGATGCAATACAGGATAAATCACTATCATCCTATAATAAAGCTGGATTACACAGAAGTATGAGATTGAGCATGTTAATGCATACTTCCTAATGCTTGTAATGAAACTGCACGCACGAACAAACACAGTCAGCTGGATCCTTCCACCTGGAAGAAACAACTAAGTCCACCTGAGCGTCCTCAAAGCTGTATCGTCCTGGATCCTTGAGGTTCTGGCTGGTTCGCTCATAGCTGTGAGAGTCCAGGTTGATGGAGCTCGGCGCTCCCTCGGCCAGAAACTCCTGCCAGATCTCCTGAGCCCTGGAGGGCACTTCATGGAACGGCCTTCGCTTCAGATCCTGCACCGCTAACCAGAACCTACAACAGAGTCACGTCAAGTAATTAACAGTCCCCAATGTTCGTTTTTAAATAAACGCCTGTCGTTGCTTGAAGGGATGAGCGACGCTACAACAGCTTAATGTTGTTCAAAGGTCAGATAAATTGTAAAGAAAGTCAAAGATTTGAAAGGCAGCCCCACCGTAGATTCTCTGAGCTGAACTCTGACTCCAGAAACTTGAGGAACTGGTCTCGTCCTGCTGGGTCCCTCAGCGCCTCCTCCAGGGAGAACCCCCACTTCTTCACACGCTGCTGGCTGGGATCACGGCTGCTCGGGGCCCAACAAAACAGGAAGAGAGACTAAAATAAATAAAAATCTCTCGCTCCCACTTTCTTTTCACAGTCCGCAGAGAGACCATCGTGTCGGTGCACACAAAACTAAACCTTTGGGAACACCAAAAGTTAGAAGTCATTTAAGATGTGAAACACCTTGAACTTCACTCTCAGGCCTCATCCCAGCCTCACCTCGTCTCCACGTCCCAGAAGGTTGTGTCGTCACTTATCCAGGGATTGGACGGCTCCGCAGCCGACACAAACGAGTCGTATTCTATGAACTGCTCCGTGTAGGTCATCAGGCTGTCGGCCACTTTGGAAACTTTCATACAGTGTCTATCCAGCTGGCTGTTTAAGAAGGTGATCTAATGGAGGGAGAGAAGGAAGAGAAATGAGGAGGCTAAATAAGGTAACAGCTCATCTGTCTACATCTCCGACTGTCGTCATGATGGATGAGAGAGGAAGGACGGTGGTAATGATGTACAAAAAAAATAGTGCATGCTCTGACTTATACCTCCTTCTGAACATCCTCTTTGGTGGGCTTCCTGATTGGCTGGGAGCTGATGTGGACCGGACTTGGCTGGCTCTGACCATCATCTGGTATTCCATAGACTGACTGGAAAAGGATGAAGGAAGAGATATGGCTTTACTGTGATTGTGGGACAGTGTTGTAGTATGTGATACGCAGGCATACCGAGTATACCCACTAGGAGCTTGAGTATTTCAGTATACCCACTTAAAAGTGTCCAATGATACATGTACAAACAAGTAAACTCTCAAAAATAAGCAGCCGTATTATTAAAACATCAAACTGGGCTGTAAATACCACGTGGGACAGTTAGGGTGACACATTTGGTGAAGTTTAAGAAGCTTGATGAGCCCAGTCTGTCACCTTTTTCACCCTGTGTGGGTTCTTCTCTCTGCGACACTTTCTGATGTCCATCTCTGTGGTGTTGACGCAGCCTGGCTGTGAAACAGCAGAAGAAGGAAAGTTTCAAGTGACACTGTTGCTCATACTGGCTGTGCTCTCCCCACATTATGATGCTGTGTCTTTACAGAACCATGCAAACAGTCTTGTCTTGCTTTTCTTTATTGTTTGCTGTTTTTTCCTGAACACACCACTGGTCGATGAACATCCCAGAACGCCCTCTCCTGGCTGTCAAGGATCTTCCTCTCCGCCTTGTCCTTCTTCCTGTCAATCCTGTGTGCAGAGGAAATAGCTCAAACACAATTCAGCCTCCAAATTAGGTCACACACAAATTAGAGTCAAACTTAAGAGCATGAAGCTAAGTTTAAGTTGTTACTCCCCTGACATAAGGAGGCTTTTACTTCCAACATAACTCTTACTTGAACAAAACAGGAGGCAGTGGATCTTTTTATTTATTTATGTATTTCATTGTGTGTGTTTTGTTGTTCTTTGAACTTAAAAGAATGGGAGGCACATACTAACAGCAAAAATAACTTTTATTGCGCTTACAAATATCCACCACTAGATGGCAGTCTCACAAAGTAATCAAAAGCAGAAATGTGTTCAGTTCCATGGGAAAAATGTACTTTATTTAATGCATATAACCTTTGGGACTAAATGCAAAAAGACCTCATTAACAACTTTCTACCCTGTTATAATAAAATGGCATACAGGTCAAAAGGCAAATTCAGAAATGAACTAACTTGACTTGAGCTTCAGCTTGCATGAAGATGAACTCCCACTTTCTTGCGAAAGCCCTCTGCAGCCGGGCGAGGTTCTCCTAGAAAAGTTTATTTTGAAAAAGTTTCAGTTCGTACTTTATGTCAGCAAGGTGAAGCAATACATGTGTATGTGGGTGTGCATTTATTGTAACGTTCATAAAATAATCACTAGACATACATTTACAACTGATTAATTTTTGTTGACATTCATTCATTCAACCTTTATACAGGATAGTCTCATTGAGTCACGAGAATTCATTTACAAGCGAGAACCGTTTTAAACAAAAAAAATCATATATGAGGTACACACAACAATAAACACTCATATGAAAACATATAAAATGAAAAGCACATAAAAGAAGTGATATAAAACAAAATAAAAACAAGCTACATTATAAAACAGTGTAAAATGCTAAAAACAGGAACATGTCTGCATTGGTTTTTGCATTGAAAACAGTAATTTAAAATCCCTTAGCGAGGTCAAAGTCAAGAGATTACATTGTACTGACCAGTGTACTTTGGTTTCTAAGCACAGTATAGCCACTACAAAAATGTAGACTACACCACTGATCTTAGCGCACTGTGATAGGCAGCATCCAACATCTGCAGGTGCTTGCAGGAGCATTCATGTAAATAATGTCACCATAGTCAATGGACAGAAGGAAAGTAGCAGCTACAAGGCATTTCCTGGAGTTCGGAGTTAAACAGGATCTATTTCTAAAAAAGAAACCCAATTTAACTTTCCGTTTCTTCACCAAATTTTTTGACATGAGGCTTAAAAGAGAGATGTGAATCAACCAAGATACCCAAATATTTTTAAGAATTGACAAACTCAAGAGGAACACCATTCAAAGATAAAATAGAAGGAAGGACTGCTGGGACCGACTTCCTGTTTGAAAACAACATTCCTTTGGTTTTATCAGCGTTTAGCAGCAGTTTGAGACGTAACAAATCTGACTGGATGATGTCGAAAGCAAACTGTAAAAGCTGGAAAACCTTAGCAACTGATTTAGCTCGACAATAAACAACAGTGTCGTCGGCATAGAATGTAGGGATGATCTTGTTGTATGTGTTGTATGTTGCCAGTTCAATACTAGATGGCTGCCCCGGTTAATCGACATTAGCAATATAAAAGTGACTATAAAGTAACTTAGTCAAGTTTACAAATATTGAGTAAAAATGTTATGTAGTAGTAGCTACGAGTCATTCACAGCACATGCTCTGTGTGACGTGCTACGATCGTACATAACGGTATTTTCAAGTTTTGACCCAAACAGCTCCATTATTTCTCAACATAATATGATTAATTTTCTGGAACTCTAGCACAAAAATGGCAATGTGCAATTTGCATTCACTCGAGGAACGATTTTGTTTGATCCTTTGTAAAAACAAAAAGTCAACAGTGTTAAAACTGAAATGATGTCCTGGTTAGCGCTCAAAAAAGCATCTGTAAGCCTCATTACGAAAAAAACTCCATCCAGCAGGCATGTTAACAGTGAGAGCCTGGGGGCATAAAGTGACCTGAATAGCAGAGGAGAAGTTTACTTGACAATAGTTGCAGCGTCATTTGGAATATTAAAGTGAGGCAGATAGCTGTTGTGTGCACCGGCACCAGATCAGCACTATAGTAACGTGCCTCTTGAGACTTCATTGATCTGCTGATGCCGAGTTATTCTGCAGATATTTTTAGTTACATTTTAGGGCCTGAGAATTACAATCATCCTAATGGTGCTCCTGAAAAACCCATTTGACAATTTGATTATGTCTTGCAGACAATATGAAGCCCTGGAAAGGACACAATTTGGTTTTCTTTTGCTCTTTTTAGAAAATTAAAAGACTGGAAATACATTCTTGTCCAAGCACAAAAGCAGAAATGAACTTCCTGTTAAATGTTAAATCAAAACAGCTCAAATTAAAATATACTTACTGCCTCATAGTCGGCGAGCTCAAGCCTGGCTTTATTCTGCATGGTGCGTTTGCACAGATAAATGGCTGGAGGCAGATAGAGGGAAACATGTAAAGGCAGGTGAGTTTGTTAAAAAAAGGTGGATGTCCCTTTAAATCAACATGTCAGCTTTGTAAAGCAACACTAACAGGTATCTTAATGGCTCGGGTAGGCTACGTGTTGTCTTGAGCACCTCTTAAAGCTTAGAAATGGAGTCAAATCAGTCACTGGTCCTTGATTTGTGAGACTAATTTTATCCCAGAGGATTCTCTCTGGTGGATGGTCCTCGCAGCTAGATGCATTACAGGGAATGGCCCGTTGGATCAATACTCGCTGAGTGTCAACAGCAGATCTACAGCAGTGTGAGCTGTGTTTAAGCTGTGGAGAAGGAAACGGGTGAAGGCATTAGGGAGATCTAAGCAGGACTGGAGCAACGTGTGACTTACCATAGTCCGTGTTCTCAGGTTCCCAACAGTTTGAAGGCCAGAAGTATGGAGACTGGTGAAAACAGAGAGAGCCACAAAATACAAACGGATAAAACAAAAAGAATCTGTGAGTCTTGCACTTTGTACATTCTTGACCCAAATAAACGATATGACTAATCCTTTCTCTTACCACACGCACACCCCCTGCAGTTATTCTAAAAATGTTTGCAACCTTTAATATCGCTGCAAACGATATTATAAATTCAAAGTTAATTCCAGCGTCCTTTAGTAACTGATAGCTCACATCTGTCACAAATTCATTAAAATGAATGAATGAGAGAATAAACAAATAAATAAAGGTAGCATACAGCCTGGTATGCACCTAATTTTTTAACCAATGCTTACATTGTATGTACCAGGTACATACTCAGTATTTACCTGCATGTACCAAGTACATACCTGGTTCTTTCTGTGTACATACCCAGTACCTGATATGTACTCAGTATGCACCTGGTATTTACTCAGTATAAACCTGGTACTTACTTGGTTTTAACAAGGTACTTAAATGTACTGAGTAGTAGAGCTGTCATTTCTAACCCGGGCCCAAAGCCCAGTCCAGCCTGCCTGACCTGAATTAGGGCCGGGCCGTAATAATGTGCTGGATGGGCGGGCTGGATCGGCGTTGGGCTTTTGATTGCATCAGCAGATGCGGCTGGTGATCCAAGTATATGGAAACATGGTTTGCCATACAATCACCAGCCGCACGCGGCCATTTCACCGCGAGCTGACCGGCCTTGAAAGAGGTAAAATAAAGTTCAGTTAAACTTCAGATGGGACTGTACTGCCAGGAAGCGATCCATCAAAGCCCAAATGGACGTTCATTCAGCCGCTGCACTCAGCGGACGCGGACGGCTGACGACCAACAACAGGTGAGATCCCAAAGCAGACATGTCAGAGCAGGGTCCGTGTCTGAATAATGCAGAATGCAGGCAGAAGCAAGGGTTTCATGTACTTTGACGATCATGAAAGGACAAACACCCCCCTCAGCTCCGATCTTCTGCTCTCTTTACTCAGCCACGTGCATCAGCCAACTGTTAATAACTCTATAATCAGTAAAGGCTTAATTAAAAATGTGTTTTTTTTTCAGCTTCGGACCTGTAATTACTGTTAATTCATTGGGTCGGGTGGAATTCGGAAATTGTGGCTACGGGCTGCTGCCGGGTTGGGTTAGATTTTTTGGGACCAAATGCTACTCTACTGAGTAGTTACCTGGGACTTACCAGATACATATCTGGTATCTACCAGGCTTTTACCATGTACATACCTTGTACACGCTTGATATTTACTGTGGATGTACCTGGTAGTTACCTGTTTTTAACTAGGTATACACCTGGTACATACCTGGTACTTAGCTAGTACTTACCTAATACATATTACAAGTAAGTACCATGTACATATCTGTTATGTACAGGGTTGTACTATGTATTGCTATCAAAACAGACCTTATCAGCCACATTATATTTTATTTGATAAAAAGCTAATAATGCCCCTGAACTTGTTGTTGAAGAATTCACCTGTTCAAACAAACTTAAAAGAACAGCTGACTTGCTTTCATTCAGCAGTCAGCTCAAAATAAAGCAGGTTGGTGATACTACACACAAAAGTGTGACAAACAGCACAAGACAGATTAAATCTGGGTCTTCCACCAACATTACAGCTATTTCTGGACTGTTGTGTCTTAAAGCGCTGCTGTGCAGCTCAGGCGCTACAGACGCACTGTGGACTCCTTTTAGATGTTCTGATGATGTGCGCTTGTTGCATCAACATAAGAAGGAATATTTTAGGCCCCCCTGCTGAATGAGCAAGTGTGGCACACGCTGCTGCCCCCTGCACAGCCACAATAATGGCTTTAAATCTTGTGCAACCGAGACAAAGATAAACGCTTTCAGAGTTGGATTGAAGAGGAGGAGCGGGAGCACAATGAAAAGTGCAGAGCATGCATAACTGGCTCAGAGTTTTCTTTCCATGAGGTCTTCTACTTTAACTGGTTTGCAGAATCAAGATACAGTCAGCCACAGCCATTAGAGGGACCTGTGAAAGTTCCTGCTGGATCAAACGGAGTAAATATATAAAAGAAGACAACATTCTGACCCTTATGCCCTGTTTTACCACCCTCCTCTCGCTCTGATGCTGCACCCAGCAGGGATATATAGTTATCGACCTTGGTGGGATGAGTAATAGGCTTAGGAAGGATTGTTCTCATTAGCATCCCACAGTAAACACATCCCTCTGATAAACAACCATCATTGCATTACTCTCCACACAACGACCCTCTAAAACATGTCAAGGACAGTCCCACAGCGGACCTCTGGGTACCTGAAAGCGGTAAAGGGTTCCATCATCCTTTAGTGTCAGAACGTGGTCGTTGATGGGGAAGATGTAGCCATGGGCTGCGATCAGACTCCCGAGGTGGATGGCTTCAGCTGAGGACATTAAACCAGGCAGAAATGTAAAAGTCTTTCTTCCCTGTTTTAAGTGCTGATGCGCTTATTGACATGTTTCTCAGCAAGCTTACCTGGATCTTCAATTGAGAGGTTTTTCACAAGCCACTGAATAATATCTGTTCCTATTAAGGAGAAAAGGACATGGCATCACACTTCAAAATCTGAGTAAAGTTGCTAAATACAAACACAGATTAGCTTAGAAGAAGCTTTTGTGGTTGCAACTGCAGGTCAAAGCTGTCAAAAACGTATAGGTTTTAAATCAAGCATAATGCTGACAGGTTTGCAGTCCTATATCCGTCTGTTCCTGGACAACACAACTTTTGGTTCTGTCTTGGTGCTCAGCAGCTGCTGGAAGAGATTGTGAGGCTGTCATACATGAGAGAATCATGTGAAGGACTGAGTCATCCTCACAGAAAGAGGCAGTAACCTCCTCATCCATACGATGACTCATTGCGTACAAAAGCACAAACATATAGGAGCTTTCACAAAAGAGGCGCACAAACAGAGGACAGTAAGGAAAGCGGTTCATTTGTGACAAAGATGGCGTCCCACCACAGGCCTCAATCTTACAAGATATCATCTGTCTTCCTTAAGTTGCAGCACTTAAAATGAGCACAAAAGGTCACACTTGTTTAACTGATTCTGACGTGTGTTTTCCCTGAGCACTACTGCACAGCCAAGTCAATTACACAAACAAACACAGACGCGCACACACACATTTATGATACAAACCTGATACGACACTTGGGATCTTGGAGAGGAAGCTTTTAACGGTCCGGATGGCAACACCTCCGGCTTTCTCGTCTTGTATTCGTGTAACAATGTCTTCCATCTGTGGAGTGCACCAATAAGAGGCTGTTGAGTCCGTTTCTGTTTTATCACTGTCAGCCATAAAGATCATGTAGATGGGACGCTACAAACAACAAATGGTTCTTTTTTTTAAAAATCAATCAGGCCTCCAAAACAAAACGTCAAGAGAAAATATAAGGTCACACAAACCAAACCATTTCAGCAAGTAAGCAATATCCAGTTTTGTTAAATTTTAAAAGTACACATATGTTACGCCTATATAGCATCAAATCAGATACTTTAAAAACTCTCCATGTAGCAGCTTGGAGGGCTTCATGTAAACTCGTAATCACAGTTAGACATTTACTGAGAGCTGACATGTTAAATCCAGTCCCACACTGGTGACAAGGCTCGAGGCTGAAGAGTTTAATTTAAACGTTTCTGATTATAATATAAAGCGACATTCTCTATAAAGCTCAGACCTCAAAAAACAAAGTGAACTTGAGTCAAGCTTGTGATTTATTTAACTATAACCAGGTTGGATGTTGATCTGGACCAAGGGGGTGTCAAAATAAATCCCAAAGGCTAAAATAAACATCACTCCTCATGAGCCACAAACACATCAGCCTAAAATTAGGTGCTTCTAAACCGAGCTCGCTGCAGCCACTTCATGATCAGTAAGAAAACAAACGGACAGACACGTGAACAGGATTAACCCCTGAGTTCATTCATAACTTATTATTGTGTGAATAGTGATTCATACTAATTTTATTTTTCATATATCAAAACGTTTGGCTTCATGGTTAATAGTGTGCTGCAGTAGTATTTGCAACTTTTATACTATTTTTAATTCATTTACCAGGTAATTTGAATGTTTTTAAAGTCTCAGTTTATCTGCACAAAGTTCACTTCAATTCCTTCCAAAATATTCAAAGTCAAAAGTCAAAGTCAGAGTTTCTTTGTCATTCGCACCACATGTGGTACATGTGGTGGAACGAAATTGTGTACAGGTCCCAGTTACATCCAACAAAAGTATAAACTGTAAAGAAAAACAGTAATAAGATCTAATATATGAACCAAATATATGACATATTTGATTTATGAGTTCAGCATTCTTGCTATAGTTTTGTCTCCTCGTGTTCATTTTAGCTTTTCGTTATCGTTTTACGAAATGTAACTGTTAGCTACTGTTTTGCTAACTAGCTTTTAGCTACTTTTTTGTTGTTGCAAGTTTAAACATTTAGCAATAGCTTTGTAGGTTTTAGCTTTTAGCAACACTTGGTAATTTAAAGCTTTTAGCTACTGTTTTGCCAATTTTAGCTTTTAATTTGCTAGTCACAACTGTAAGCTACATTTTGACTAAATGTAGCTTCTATCTACGGTTTTGCTAGTTTTAGTTACCGGTATTAACAACAGTTTACCCTTTTTAGCTTTTATCTTTATCTATTATCTTTTTTTGCTAAGTTTGGCTTTTTCCTATATTTGGCATTTAGAAATTGTTTGATAACAGAACATTTGAAGCAACAGTTTTGCTGATTTTAGCTTTTATCTACACCATTGCTATTTTTGCGTTTGAGCATCAGTTTGCGATATTTTAGCTTTCAGCAACAGTTTTGTCAAATTTAGCTTTTGTTCTGTTTTTTTTAACTTTAAAGAGTGCAGTTAACAATTCATACTTAACCAAGTTTCAGCACATTCCTTTAGTATTTAGTGTTTACATGGCATTTTCACTGTATTTCTTAGTTCATATCTTAGATCTTATTACTGTTTTCCTTTATAATTTGTATTTTTGTTGGATGTAACTGTGACCTGTGTACATAGTTTTGTTCCATCTCACGTACCACATGTGATGTGACAATAAAGAACCTTGACCTTGATTTTAACAGATTACATGACTTTTCTAGTTGTTTTCATTATCAGTAAAATGTTTTGAAATGATAAGTTTTACATAAAAGCAGGTGAAAGGTGTTTGAAGCCTCAAGTATCTGAATCAATCTCAGACATCCTGATTGTATTGAAGTGATCAGCAATCAGACAAATACATTTGTGTGATGAAGCTAAAGTCTTCTCACTATCCCACCTCACTTTTACAGTTTATGTTGAGTTTCTGGCGTGAAGCATCAGTTTGTGCTTCGTAGTGAGTGCCATTCCAATGGACATCTAGATCTTTTTCTGCCCACCTCCACCACCGTTCATCTATCTTTTCACACAGTGTATCTGTGAGCTTCTCACTCAGGGAAAATGACAGGCTCAAAAATGTAAAGTTAAGCTGCTTCCATAAAAAACAAGTCCCGTTTATGTAACATTTGCTTTTCTGTTTCAACCACATTAGGCTCTCTGGAACGCAGAGAGGGAGTTTCATTAATAGGCACAGAGTCTGGATGCAATATGAAGCAATAAAACGTTGCATCATTTGAGATAGTCAAAAAAATCCTCCCAAGATGAAAAGTAATAAACCTTGTGATCCATTTCCGTTAGACTTAGCACCGCCATAAAGCCTAATTAAATTTTGCACAGCTGTTAAAAATCAATTAATCTGTTTCATGTAATTAGCACCCATTTGTTTTGTAATAAATTTCACTCAGCATGATTACATTCAAATAATTTGACATTCCACTGTTACTGATGAATGGATGAATGGTTTGGGCTGTGGTTCCCAAAATTTTCAGTTCAACTTTGCTGATTGAAGTTCAGTATATGAGCAACGTTAAAGAATCAGAATCAGAATAAGCGTTATTATCATTGTACCGAAATACAGTGAAATTATGTTCGTACAGTCGTCCAAAAGATGGGCGGAGTGCACGTTGCTGCTGCTACTGGAGCACAGCCCCTTATCCATTTTCAGAATACATTTTTAGACAGAAAAGGGGAGAAAATCCATGAGGATAGATAATGGCATTACAAAAAAAGATCTCTTCACACCTTGTCCTATTAGGACATGATTTAAGACGTCAAAAAACTCTGCCAGTAAGCACATTTATAGACACATTACATATGCACTTGACGACGACGGTGAAATTTGTCCATGAAACACTTCCAGATAGGCCATAGACCTGATAAGATGTTGGTCAGCTGGCACAGTTCTGATAAGCCTTCATAGAAGTTCTGGGAGGGTGGGGGGTGCAGTAGATGAAGCTTTTCGTTAGTTTACACATATCCCAGGAGAAATTTGACAAGTCAGCCTGTATTCAAGGCCAGCCGGGGGAGTCAAATTCAGATAATCTACAATTGTTGATTTTTTTTTCAGGCAGACTGTTTCTTTCTCGTCAGCCTTGAGTTCTGCTGGTACTTTCAAGATCCAAAATTGCCAGATTTGTGGGCATTCCACTGGTCCATACCTATGAGGCCCCTCCAAGGTCGTCTTCAACATGCTGGCGAGTCCTAGAAGCCGAAGGTGGCCTGCGATTCTCACAAATCGCTTCCATTTTAGGATTTAACTCGTAAATTGGCTGATTTTGAGTACTCGAAGCACGAATCAAACCTTCAAACAGACACGGCAATTTTGCCATGGCCGAAACTGCTGCTGCTGTCTTCATTAGTATCTGATAACATAGGAATCCACCCATGCCAGAAAGCAGAAGCCATGCTATCATGAATCCAATTATATAAATGTCTTGGGCATCCTCTTGAGACAAAACGGAAAGACGCATCAGTTTCCCTAACTCCCCATGGATCCATGACGTATCCTGCCGCGTGAGTCTCAGTGGGGCATGAGGGCTCTCCAGGACTCTGTTGCTTGTTGAAAAGATTTAGTCAATTACGTTGAAAGTCCAGCTGACCAGATCCATGACAGTAGTTTTAGTTTCAGAAGATGTGTAACAGGAGCTCCGATACACAGACAGAGAGCAAAAAAAAAAAAAAAGGCAGGAGGAGAAAAGGAGAGGGAGAGGAGGCATCTGCCTTGCACGAGAGCGAGTGCAGAAAGCCAAAGATAATAAGCTAATTCACTTTTTTCTTCTCCATTTATGAGTGCAGTTCTGATTCTTCATAACAGTTAAGGTTAAAAATGATGTTGACGATTAGGTTTGAAATTCATTTTATTTCTGCAGATCTTCGGTAAAGATATTGATTGATAACTCATAAACCTGCCTCATAACTCAACAGCAACGCAAACTGTTTAAGCCAATATTTCGAAGCAGAGAGATGGGTATGTGCTAGATGTTTGTGTGCAAATAATTATTATAGCATAAGCATAAAACAGAATAGAATAAAACTTTATTGTTATTGTTCGGGGAAGCAACAAAACACAGTTTAGCATCTCTGGGGATTGGCAGAGCAAGTTCAAAAACAAAAAGTGAATTAGGCTCTAAAGAAAAACTAAATAGAATAAATAAAATATAATTAAAGAATAGAACAAAAGAAGACCCTACCAGTCGCCTCTCAGCTTAAAGCATCTCGGAGTAAGTTTATAAAAGTTTTGAACCATTGCAAACCGTACATTTAGATCTATTGACTGTGATGCTTTTTATTTCTAGTTTTATGCAGTTGAGTTGTGCAACACCAAAGAGGTGAGAAGACACCACCATAGTTCCTGAGAAGACAAATCAGTTGTGCTAAACAACACAACAAAACTTTAAAATCAGCAAAGTCTGATTTGTTTCTGAGGGACTATAATCTCTTTGAACATATTTGTATTCTTTTGCTTTTGTTTAAGACGAAACTGAGCAGATTAATGCATAACTCGTTATCTCCCTATAGGGTGACAACAGACGAGAAGCACTCGTCACAGCAACAGAAAGTGCACGCTGTATCTGCTGGATGTATAAGTTAATGGTGTTGCAGCGTGCTGCAGAGGGTTTCTGAGAGCTGAGCGCGGCTGCAAACACGGGATGACAGCACTTTGCTCCTTCGCCACAAACGATTATCAGCAGAACACTTCCTGTAACTGTACAGCATGTTTACACTTGTAGCACATACGTGTGCCGAAACAAAACTAATCACGCACGTGTGACTCCTATAAGGTGTTTAAAGGAGTTTATGAGGAAGTTTTCTGTTATCGTAAATGGGATTTGAGACATTAGGGAAAGGTTAAATCCTGATGGG